AGCGTGTGAATTATATATGTGGATAATCATAAGTAATCTATGATTATCACAGATCTGAAACAAGCCAAGTTAAAACAGACTCAAGAGATTTCATCAAATATTATTCGTGATCTTCAAACGCTAACAACCTCTGAGGAAGATGAGATACCATGGGTTTTATGCACAGGTAATTTTGTGTGAGTCTCTATAGGGTATGTTGTATGTCTTGTACTGACAGCATTAGATGGGTACTCCATTGTGCCAGTTATGAAGAATATCTCAGCTTACAGTACATACAATATTTTCATTTGAGTGCAAGCTTAAATGAATTGTTTTATATGATCAAATATTTTCTTTAAGGAGAATCTGTACTGAGTACTGTTGTGTATGGTGAGACCAATGGATATTTTTAAATTAGATTTTTCTGCATACTTGAAAAAAGTAGCCTACAAGACTAACTGAATTATTTTCTTTATTTATTTAAAATAGATAGCTAGCTGTATTTGGACGTTTAGGATTTCTTATAAATAGCTTGGTTAACTATTCACTATGAAATATCTTGTAAAAATAATTAAGCTTATTGTGACCGCCAATGAATCATTAATATAACAGTAGCTTTGTATTTTTCTCAGTAGCTTTTTGTCGGGATTTTTTTTTTACATTGTAGAAAATATTTAAAAACAACAAATTTATAAGACTGAATTGATGTTTTCCAGAAATATTGAGTTCTAGCATTTTAAAATTGCAAAGTTCATCTCAATTAATGTCACATAAAGATATGGGTTCAATCAATGATTAACATTTGATTTGGTTGAATTTATGTCAGATTTGGTTTACCACCTTTCTTATTGAAGGAAATATTTGTCTAGCCAACTCTGATCGTTTTAATGCCAGAGTCAAAGAAATGTTTCCAGACTCTCAGATTGCTAGAAGATTGTAAAGAAAAATTACAATGAAACGAGGGCAATCATGAAGGTTGATACTTTTTCTAACTTGCTTGTAACTAAAACCAATTGCAATGCTAACCTTCAGTTGTCCAAAGAGCTGTTGGACAAGTGCAAAAAGGCCACTAGGGATATGCTGGAAAACTGAATTCTTACTAAGAGTCTTAGCAGCCTGTGTACATATGTAAATAAAATGGATCTTCTGTTCTGTAATGTAGGCCTATATACATTTCCAGTAATGTTTTTCTCATGTTTTATGGTGTTCTGTGGACTCTTCGAAGACAATGGAAGTAGCCTTACATTTTTTTAATTACTAAAAACAAAGACTTGTGCATTAGTATATAGATCTTAAACCAACCCCCCACGGGGCACCACCCCCTATGGTGCAGCGGCCCCACTTCCCCCCCTGCGTGCACCTCCCTACACTTTTTTTTTTAATTACTAAAAACAAAGACTTGTGCATTAGTATATAGATCTTAAACCAACCCCCCACGGGGCACCACCCCCTATGGTGCAGCGGCCCCACTTCCCCCCCTGCGTGCACCTCCCTACACTTTTTTTCTTGGCAGTGGCAGGTCGGCAATAGCCTTTTTGCTGGCCACTAGAAAGCTGATTAATTTAACACATTTGCATTACATAATTGTGAAATCATGTTGAATTGTTGGTTCATTTTTTTAATAATTTTTTTTTTTTAATCTTTCAGTTTGGGGACCAAAGAGAAATTTTATGTTTAGTTCAATTTATTTATATTGTTTTACTTAACAATGTAATAAAAGTAAAATAACATTCAAAAATGACTTTTTTTTTAATTTGTTGAGAAAAGCATTGTCAGTGTCATGGTTGATTTTTACATTGAATAACTTCTTCGGTTGATAGAATCTTCACAATATAAAATGTTTCAAATTCAAGCTGGGAAAGTAATTCTATAATTGTTTGAGTAAGCCACATAAAATAGAAATGACCTTTATTATGAAACCAAAAATACTTGTGTTCCAACATGCAAAGTCTCATGCAC